CGTTTTTTGACGTATTTTTAACGTCAAAAACGACATTATTACGTCATTATTTTTGCACCAACCTAATATTAATCTCGAGGTTCTTGACAAAATCCAAAGAAGGATCTGTAATGTAATCGATCCTGATTTGGCACCTCGGCTTCAGTCATTTACTCGCCGACGTTACGTAGTTTCCCTCTGTATTAAAATATTTTCATGGCAACTGCTCTGACGAGATTTTTCCCCAGACTACATGAATTTAAGCTAGCTACTAGATTGGCATCTAGGTACCACCTGTTTAATGCTGAAATATCTAAATGCAGCCGCCACTTCTACTTTAACAGTTTCTTTTCTCGCACTTCCCACCTGTGGAACTCCCTTCCGTTTACTTGCTTCCCTGATAACTACAATCTTCAAAAAATTAAATGCAATATCAATCGTCATCTTCTATCTTCTTGAATCCCGTTCATCTTTTTTCTTTTCCTCAATCTTTGCTAGACTCAGTCTTTTCTCTCACTTTAACTCCCTGTAACCCTCTACGTACTATTGGCACTCCCGCCTTGCTTGGGGTAAAATGATTAAACACAAAGTCTGATGCTGTACAATTAGAGAATTGGGTTTCATTTTGTTCTTGAAACATGCGGCGTCTTATCAAATGGGGACGTTAGAATCGGCAGGTAGTTTTCACTGTCCTTCACTCACCTGACACGCTCCTCATAGACGAAGAAGAGACTTGAAGCGACAGAGATGGGGTTCTACCGAGGAATTCCGTGGGGCAAAGACCATAAGAGTAACGAAGAAGATGTTAATAAAATATGAACTATAAATAAACTTCTTATTACAATCAGAAAGAGACATTTGATACTTCAAGAATGCGTAATGAGAAAAGAGGACCTAGAGAATCTAACACTCACATGTCGCACTGAAGGTAAAAGATGCAGGGTGAAATAGCGTGTAATTTGAGTGAATGGATGACAATAAGTGAAAAGATGGATGGTAAAGAGACTAAAGTTAGAGCAACAAAAACAGGAAGATGTGGAGAGCTGTGATCGATTATGCTTTTAAAGGATATGATATTTAAAATAGGATATGAAAAAAAAATAAGTGTAATACCATGTAAGACTCACTTTTAAATACTTACACTACACCCAATTCATCGCTGAAAATAAGATGACGAAGGATAAAGTTACTTTGTCTGAATCTACGGGCATTTGCAGAGTTCCTTACGATTATCTAATTCTTTCTTAACTAATATACTGGCAGAAAAAAAGTTGTTAAGCTCTCTTTCTTCATTATGTGCCCTAGAAATTTCGACTGTATCTTTCTGATGATAGAAATGATAGAAATAAAAGTTGTAACACCATGAATATCTGTTTCAATTTTTTCAAGATTAAATATACAGCTAATATAGCTTGATTACACCGAGATGAAGATCTCAACGGTTGAACCAGCAGATGAAGAGGGCTACGCATGATGGACATACTATAGAAGGCGTAACTCAAAATTATAACAGTTAGCAGCAGTTTTGTTGTATCCTCAAAGAGGTTACAAACAAAGGTGTAACACAGATGTAGATGAAAGAGAGCTTTATTGTAAAAAGAATAAACTGCTGAAAGACAGGGAATCGGTTAGCAGGTTAGTAATTTCCGAAGCAAGGTTATTTACCTTAACTTCCCGCGAGACAGAATGTGGCACAAGGCCGTTTTTTAATGCGGCATAGCGTCGTCAGGGTTCCTCTCTGCCCGAAGGTAGAGAGTTTGACTAGCTTAGCTGGAGACGAATCTCTAACTAATTGCCGAAGCAAGGTTATTCACCTTACCTCCCCGCAAGGCAGGATGTGGCACATGGCCGTTTTGTAATGCGGGGTAAATTGTTAGGCTCGGGCAAAAATTCCCCGTAGACTCCGTAAAAAACGGGGTCGGGTAGCTATCAACCACCCCAGACAAGACTCTGCCCTTCGACATAGCCACGTCTGGGTTCTTCTCTGCCCGAAAGCAGAGAGTTCGACAAGCCGTCAGGTATATGATGTGCTTACTACATATATCTAGTGATTTAGTCAGTCCATATAGGCGATAGGGATTGTGGAACATTCCATTACAATACCTCCCTCTGAACTAATTTTCCCATTAAATTTTGCTCAATACCTCTTCTTTTGGGGGTCAGGACATAATTGTTTGACTTTTTTCCTCTTTCTAGTAATTTTTCGTCTCACCAACTGGATTCTGCATTTTTCATTCCATATGGTGATTTTCTAAGCGTAGCTTGGATGTGGCACGAGGCCGAAAGTATAGGGCACCCGGTGAGGATCGAACTCACTACTCAGCGGTAATAGTTCTAGTGAGACAAGCTTGCTAACCATTACACCACGTCGAAGTACCCATGTTTCATTCCATATATGCCACAGAGAAAGGTCATGAAATCAAGAGGGCGTTTTTTAATGCGGGATTAAAACCAAGACCTTGGGCTCGGGCAAAAATTCCCCGTAGACCCCTTAAACAAATTCACGCTATCAACATTTTCTTCTACTCTGACGACAACGACACCTAGATGATCACATAAACAGATCGATACGTGTACAGGTACCATTTATAAATGGTACCCAGACTGTCATACTAATAGTTTATACTGTTACAGGCAGTGGCGCTGTAGCGGTTATGGGATCATTAAATACTTGTTCGGTGTACCAGCTTCTGTTTTGAAAATTTTTTATCTGTCCTGTAACAAGGCAAAAGCTAACAGTTTTTTCTATATGAGCCAAGATGTCTACCTGACTGTTTTATTTTTAAAAAGTATTTCTTTAAAATTCTTTACTTTCGTGAATTTTCTAAATAATTCGATTGACAACAAGAACACTTTCATTTTGCAATTCCATTTAAATCAATGCATATATTTATTTCTTTATACTATTTACATTGTTCGAACTGTTGTCATCACCGTTTTTGTCATATTCACGACGTTTCGGTCGTTGTTCGTTCCGGCCTTCTTCAGGTGATATACGTTGGAATTTTGAACCGATCTATTTATTTCGTCCACCGGGTAGATTGTTCTCGTTCCATGTGCCATACCTTTTCTGGGTATCTCAGTTTGAGTTATTTTCCTTTAGTAACTCAACTATCGGTTCGAAATTCAAACGTATATCACCTGAAGACGGTGGGAGCGTACAACGGTCAAAACGTTGTTAATATGACAATAAAGATGAGGTCAGCAGTGTGAACAATGTAAATAGTGTAAATGTTTACAATACATCATCTCAGAAATATAGAGAGATCCTGAAGAAGGTCGGAGCGTACAACGATTGAAACATCGTGAATATGACAATAAAGATGAGGACAATAGTCCGAACCATGTAAATAGTGTAAATCGTTACAATACTTCATCTTATAAATATAGAGAAATCCTGGCAAAAGGCCGAAGCGTACAACGGTTGAAACGTCATGAATATGGCAATAAAGATGAGGATCGCAATCCGAAAACTTCAAATAGTGTAAATAGTCAAAATACCTAATCTCAGAAATTTAGATAGATCCTGAAGAAAACTGGAGAATACAACGGTCAAGCGCGAATATAAATATGAGGAAAACACACAATAAAAGGAAAACACGAACAATGTAAATAGTGTAAAATGTAAATAGTTACAATATATCATCATAAATACACACACACACACACATATATATATATATATATATATATATGGGGTTATCTTAGTTGAAAGAACGTCATTCTTCCGGTCAAGGAAGTGAACCTCTGTTAGAAATATGATGCCCTAACCACAGAACTAAACACCATTGAGAAGTATAAGTATTTCAAGAATCAATTTAAAGAAATTGAATTCCGCATTTTCAGGAACAAAGATTCCGAATTTGGTCAGGATTAGTTTTTTTTCTTTCTTTATTTCTTACATGCAATACAAAAACCATCAAGTTGAACTCTGTTTTTACCTCGTACTGCGATCCTTTCCCTCTCTCTTTCTCTCTCCCTCTCTCTCTCGCAGAAGAAAAACTCAGAGAACTGAGAATCAAAATTCCTGGCATACTTGATCGGAATCTCTTCATTCTCTGACTCACTGCAACTAACTGAAAGTCATCTCCTACCGATTCGTCTGCCTGTTGGCTTGTTCATCCCTTTCCCCCCCTTCAGATTTTCGTCCTTTATTTTGCAACGAAGCGGTGTCTTCTTTCCGCAATCCTCCTACCCTGATTCAAGATTTCTGAGTAGTATTTATTAACTTTCTTCATTTCCTTTCTTCGTGACTTTTGGCTATTCCTGCGACACACACGAGCGCGTGCTTTTCCTCCTCTTCCCCCTCCATACTCTATTTTTATTTCTTTCATTCTTTTAACAAAAATGAAAACTGGTTTCCCGGTCTTTTTAGAAAGGAATTCTTTTCCGGTAATTTTGAAAGATACAAGACGAACGAATATATAAGATTTCGCCCTTGCTGAAAAAAAAATAAATTAAGGTAAAAAAAAAAAAAAAAATTCTTCGGGGTCTTTTGCAAGCCCTCACCAATTTCAGTCAAACAATTATTAAATATTTATTTCAGTTTTTCTTCATTCTTTTTTATATTCCATTACTTTATTTATGATTGCTTTATTTTGACATGTTTAGAATCTGCGTTCAAAAAAATATAACCTCTTTCACCAACTCGGTGTTTTTCGGATCACTTAACTGGAATTATAATCATAAATTAGCGACAAGATCCAAAATGTCGGCATCGTGAAGATCCCTTGCGAAAAAGGAAGGTGAGAGAATGCTGGGAAGGAAATGATTCTATTGGTTGCATTGTCACAACAATTCTTATTTACTAGTTGTCTATGATTTATTTTGAAATTGCCCGAAGACCTCCTGAAAATGAACTGGCTTTGTTAATACCCTCACTCACAGAATAAAAACGGACGAGGCGAGCTATGTGTGAGCTGTATTTCCGGAGGTTTGTGGAAGGGCGATTGTTAAAGGTGAAATAATACAGACATAAATAGGTAGGGGTTCATGTGTGAATAAGGTAAAAGGGAGAACACCGAAAAGAAAGAAAAAAACAAGAAGAGCAAAAAGTTATAAAAAAAGAAAGAAAGAACGAAAAAAAGAAAGAGTAGGAGAATGAAGTGTAAAATGGGGTGAAAAATATTGAATGACGCAAAAGAAGAATAAATGAAGAAACATGGACGAGGAAGGCTGAAAAAAATGTGTGAATGAAGAAGAAGAAGAAAAATAAGATTTAATGAAGAAATGAAATAAAGGAAGTGTGAATGAAGAAGAGTAAGGGATGATAAGAAAAGAGGAAGATAGTAAAAAAGAAATAAAGCTTGAATGAATGGATGACGGAGCAGGGTTAGGGAGAGATGACAAAAAGACAAAAGTTATTAAGAGCTACAAGAGACAGGAAATGGTGGAGTGTCATGATCTCTAACATCCTGAAGAGACACAGGACATAGAAGAAGCAGACGTCATTAGGTCGCAATACAAAACGAAGAAAGGATAAAAGGAAAAAGGGAAGATGCTAAAAAAGAAATTAAGAAAAAAGTACGTCATTAGATCACAATACAAAATAAAGAAGAAGAAATAATTTTAACTTCAGTAACAATGACCGTAGGCAGCTCTTTTCCACCATTTTATAATTTCTCGTGTGGTAGATGCGGTACACCTGCAGGCAAAATGGCTGACTCAAGGAAACAAACGCACATAAAAGTTCAAGCCATTTTGGTGGCCTGTGCTGCCCGTGTGTTCATCAATTTTATAACCTTGAAAATCCTGATATTGCCGACCTAGACCTGGATGCGGACATTCACCAAAACAGTGAATTGTCAGAGAAGAAGAGTTTTGTCAGGGAAGGATACGAAGAGAAATAACTAAAATTCTATCTAGGATAATTTATTCAAGCCGAGCGTCAAAGTATTTTAACTAATGGATTCTTGTCTGGGCGACAAATAGAAGTACTTCTAACGTCTCTCTCACTCGATTCTATTACTTTACCTGTCTCGAGTATTTTCATTATTTGGAAGTGAAGGAACACCGGCGGTTGGCTTTTGGCCAAAGGGATGTGACCGATATATTATTGCAGTTTGATGATCTTTCGAGTGCCTTAGCTATATGGATGTCAAACACTTTATTTCTAACGCAAATACTAAAGAGGGATATACGATCAACCATCGAAAAACAACTTCACCTGGGCGAAAGTTTTTGGTCTAACTTCATTTGTCGCAATTTCATATTAAACTCGTATTCATGAAAGCCTCCAAGAGAATATGAAGACATTGAGCAAGTCTTTTATACTCTATCAATTTCGTCTATGAATTTGCCGCATCGCGACCCGGCTCTGTCGTGACTGACAAGTAATATATTATATAGCTTATGCCACGACGGAGAACGGGGGAAAAAAAAAAACGGAATGATTTTGCCACATATACACCTATCTTTATTTTATGAGTAGAACCTATCAGTTGATCTAAGCGCTGACCTAGTCCTTATACAATGGGGAAATAAATGGTTTGTAACGTTTGGGATCTCCAAAACCAAGCTACCGACATTTCATCATCATTGGCAAACCCTGAATTAACTTCAGTCATGATGAACACTTGACCTTCAACGTGGCTCTTTGCCTTGAACGTCTATTAGGATACACGCTCACTCCAAACATCGCTTCCCATGCAATCACCGAAGTTAAGCAATGTCGAACCTAGCCAGTACCTAGATGGGTGACTGCTTCGGAATACCATCTGATGTAAGCTTAGAAGTGCGGGTGGTGTAATGAATAATGGAGTTTTTAATCGGAGAGCCGAGTTCCAATTCTAGTTGGGTTCGTTATATTCACTTACGCGCAAATACCTTTCGGAAAGGTATGAATCCACCTCTTCTCCTCCCCCAGTTATGGATTAATTAGTAAAATCTGTGTCATATAAAAAAATCAATAAATAATCAAATAAAATTGCGTACAACATATTTAGATTTCGGCATTAAATAATCCATAGAGGTTGGTATGACGCTAAACAAGACCTCAAGTTCAACGTATGTACGATTCATTGCTAAAGATAGTGGAAATATGGTCGGTTCATTGTAGCACTCCAGAAAGTACCTGCATCCTCCTGCCATGGTTGAACAAGAGTCAGATCAGAACAAAACGAGTATTGCTGCCATATCTCGGCTTGTACTGCCCGATACCCGCTTTCCAGCCTTGAAGTTTGTGAGGTCTTATGTGATTTTCCACACTACATTCCCTTTCCCGAATGCAAAACGTTACAAGTCTCTCTCTGCTCTACAACTATTTTCTTAGTAAATATCCAGACGAGTTATTTCCCTTAGTTCCACGAGTTCAAACGTTCGTAGCTCGTACTGGATAATGCCAAGTATAGTTACTCATCTTCATTCCTTTCGTATTTGATTGGTAGGCAGGAAGTTACACTTAGCTTCTTCAAGAACACCACTATTTCATAGAGCAATCTCCCCGAGAGCCTGCTTCCCTGGTCAGCTCTATGTCTATGATCGATCGTTATCTATACTATATATGATATTATATGCATTTATTTTACGCTCTTACAACAGCTTCATTCAGTAATCCTCTACCTAGAGTAGTTCGCGGGTTTTGTACTGTGTGAAAGTATAAAAACCTGGATCTAACGACAGTTTTTTTTTTTTTTTTTTTTTAGATATAGTAAAAAAAATTTTTTAAATATTTATGACAGTTAGATTTAAGTTAGGAATATCCGAACAGTGACGTTCCATATCACGTGACGTCGCGTCTCGCGAAGGACTACTTAAGTTAACAAAACAGTAATTTTAATTTATTTGTAACAAAACAGTTATTTCTGATGAAAATTGAGGACAATTTGAAATATCAAATATATATATAAATAAATACTTTCATAAAATAAAACATTATAATTTTCAATTTGAAACTTTATATATATATATATATATATATATATATATATATTAATAAATGCACATATACCTACGTTTGATGTGCCACTCGAATTTCGTTGGTTACCCAACTCATCGGGCACGAGATATAGCTTATTGCTTATTTAAAAAATATAGATGCTCATGGGATGGACGCTGATTGATAGTTCGAAATTAAAATGACACAAAATAGTACTAAAGCAATTTTGCGGTTTAAGTGCAGAAAATGAGGTGTAAGTTTGAGTCAATAATAGAAAAGGAAAAGAGTAAAAAGGGAAATTGAAATACACTTAAAATTTAAAATTTGAACGCTGGACGCTGTTCGTAAAAGACGTTTGACTGGTTAAAGGGAGACAATCTGTGTATGACCCGAAATAAAAGTGGGCGGAAAATTAAAATTTATAATTTAATTTAGACTAATTTCATCTGAAAGTTAAATTCAACTTTGTCGAAACACCGTAGCTCAGTCGCTCAAGAAGACGTAGGATCCAACGGCTTCCCAGGAGGACGCAAGTTAGAATTCTACCGATGATGACATATTCTTTTGAATATTCAGGCCGGTAGACGAATATATATATATATATATATATATATATATATATATATATATATATAAGAAACTGGTGGACATTAACTTATATTAGATATTTTATAATCATGGAATGCGGATGGGGACAATTTACTCCCCGCGGCCTGAATAAATGGTCAAGTTTTAAATTTCTAGAAGCTTACCGAGTATGAAGTTAGCTAAATGAAGAAGGCCGTAAACAACAACTGTCGAAACATAGTGAATATAACAATCAACATAATCATTCTAGTCTGAATAGTTCGAATTAATGAAGCTTTTTTCATTAATATTTTTCCATTATTTTATCTTTACTTGTAATTTAATCCTGAAGAAAGCAATTGAGTTAAAAGACCGAAACTTTGGGAGTATAACAACGAAGATGAGTATCGAAGAATATAATAATGATACTTCCTCATCTAAAAACGTAACGAAATTCAAACAACATTATTTATAGTTACGTTGATGGATTTATTATATATATATATATATATATATATATATATATATATAGAGAGAGAGATAAGATAAACCTAGTGAACCAGACAAACCTACAGGTCTCACCTAAGCGGATCGTCAGGAAAGCTGGCTCTTTCCTGACGATCCACTTAGGTAAAACCTGGGTAGGTTTTGTCTGGCTCACTATGTTTATCTAGGTCTGCTCTATGGTGGTATTGAGCTCTTTTGTTAGTTAGTTGTTTACTCGTATCGGGGTTTTTTCTTTGGGCTTTTGAACCTGTATCCGTGCGATTTTTTTCGACAGACTTTTCGTGTTTCTAGCTCTTTCTTTTTTAAAACCTTTTTTTCCTTCGAGATTGATTTGATTATTGGCAAATCAAAAATTCGAAGGTTTTTCGAAAACGAGTATAGTTACCTATATATATATATATATATATATATATATATATATATAGAGAGAGAGAGAGAGAGAGAGAGAGACAGACAGACAGACAGACAGACAGACAGATAAATCAAGCGAGCAGATATAAGCATACTGGTGTGAATACGCGGGCAAGCAGATAAATAGTCATCAAGTTTATGCATAATAGTGCTCGATGTGGTTAGACAGAGCAAAGATATATGTAATAAATTATATATATATATATATATATATATATATATATATATATATGTGTGTGTGTGTGTGTGTGTGTGTGTGTGTGTGTGTGTGTTTGTGTGTGTGTGTGTGCGTGTGTGTGTGTTTATTCCAAAATAAGTACGCTTAAATTCACCTTCATCCTTGCCGTGCGCCAACGGCTTAGGTGTAGAATCTCCGACTGACGCCAATTCAGCCGGATTTTGGTCCTTGCTAGAGGCGACGGGACGTCTAGCCACACTGATGAGCTGTGATATAGCGAAACAGTCTCTCTGTGGATGACAATATATATATATCTGAATAGACAAAATTTTGTGTTCATTCTCCTCTTTTATGGACTTAGGTAACCTTTCGGTCAATGCTTCTTCATGGTTCGATCGTTGGCAGAGCTGACGTAACGAAATCTGCGGAAATTGGAGATAAAGTTTGAACACGTCTAAAATAAATTTACAATTATAATAAGTACGTAAACCTAAGAATCAATGTAAATGAACCAACAAGAGCATCAAACAGAAAGAGAGTCGCTCTCTAACCTCCCAATAAGTGAAGGGACCTGCTTCCTTCTGTCTGCAAAGAGATGGCTGTTGCAATTTAAGGCAAACTGCTTCTAAAACTTGCAAATGGTGCTTGGACATGCCCATATGCAAAATAGAGAATGAATTACTCATGAAACACGACGAGCACCTCCCATGCACACATACACGCATGCATATATATATATATATATATATATATATATATATATATATATATATAGAGAGAGAGAGAGAGAGAGAGAGAGAGAGGTAACTACACTCGTCTCGGAAAACCTTCGGTTTCTTGATTTGCTAATGGTCAAATCAATCTCGAAGGAAAAAAAGGTTTTAAAAAAGAAAGAGCTATGAACATGAACGTCTGTCGAAAATAATTGTACAGCATACAGGTCCAAAGCCCAAAGAAAAAAATCTCGATACGAGTAATCAACTAACTTAAAGTGCTCAATACAAAAGTAGAGCAGACCTAGTCAAACCGAGAGAGCCAGACAAACCTACCAAGATTTCACCTAAGCGGATCGTCAGGGAAAGCTGGAAAGTTTCACCTAAGCGGATCGTCAGCTTTCCCTGGCTCTCTAGGTTTGACTATATATATATATATATATATATATATATATATATATATATATATATATATATATATAGATCAAAAGATATTATACATACAGATAGATAGATAGATAGATGAATAGATTGGACTTTAAAAGTCAATCTTTGTTGAGCTACTTTTGTCAGATTTTGTATTGTGCACCTGGTAAGGATCGAACTCACCTCATAGAGAGGTGGTTGAAGCAAGCGGAAAAAAGCCCAAGATACGAGTTATGACCTGGAGATGTAAACATCAAGCAGGCGCAGAAGTTCAAATATCTGGCGAGCGATTTACCAGAGGATGGAGAATGCGGCACCAAGATCAGGACACACATTAGACTAGCGAAAGATGCTTTGCAAAAGCTAAGTAAGGTGCTGAGAAATGGAAAAAAATCGTTAGAAACAAAGAAAATAATGGTGGAATACTATGTGGTATCGACTCTCTTATCTGCTTTACTGTACTGTACTGATACGGCATTCACCCTGGGCGGATTGAGCCGGCTTCTTCCTGTTATGAGAAGAAGATTCTTGGGATAAATTACAGAAGTAGGGTACCCAGGCCTACTCGGATAACGTTCTTGCTTGCCGCGGGGTTCCCACAGACGCAGAGACAGGAACGACCAGAAGCCGCCGGTTACCGATGCCGACGCTCTTGGATTTTCACCAGAGCCCTTGTTAGCCGGCGTGTGTCAGACCTGTCCATTTGGGTGGCCCTACCAGGAACGAAGTTCCGGGCGGCATAACTCTCTTTGTTGTTTACCCCCCCACCGACTGTGAGGTAAGGGTTGAACTTTGGGGCTTACAGTACCAGGTGTTTAAGCGGTCCCCATCAAAGTACTGACCTGGCTCTACGATGCTTAACTTCGGTGATCGAACGAGAACCGGTGTTTCTTATCTGCTTTGGTTTGGTTTGATTTGGTTTACGGCATATCAACCTCAATGGGTTATTTAATCCCGACAAAATATTTATTTCTAAAAATATTTTCCCTTCAAAAATGTATTGCTGGTAATAATTTTTTTACAATGTATTTCTGGTATTAAAAACTTTTTTTTACACTTACATAGTGTTTTGACCCCAGTTTAGGGATTAACTATTTACCCATTGTGGGGACCCTAACAGGTGCAACCACCCCGGGTCAGTGTGGACCTGGGAATACCAGCAACTAAGTGGTGGTTTCCACGCTCCTGATCAGATGTCTTCCTGTTGGACGTAGTTTATCGTTATATCCAGGTCTCTTATATGGTAGTGAATTCTGGATAATTTCCCTAAAGACGAGGAAAAAACTGGAAGCAGCAAAAATGTGATTCGGTAGAAGAACACTGCAACTTCCATGGACGGAGCGGGTAAATAACAAGGATGTCTTAAAGAAAATGCTGACAGAAAAAAAGAGTTATATTTAAAATAAGGAAGAGACAGCTAAAATTCTTTGAACCGCACAGGGAAGAAGGAGGGTTTAGTAAATTAAACTCTTATAGGACAGAACGACAGGGGAAAGCAGTGAACCACTTTGCTGACGAGCTTGCGTAAATTGATCTTGGAACAGGGACCTTAAGAAAGGCTAAAAAAGCTTCTAAGAGCCACACGAGATAGGAAGTTGTGTAGAGCCATGATCGTCTGAAGGGACGCGACATATAGAAGAAGTTGTCAACCAAACTTTTGTTCTGATGATTATAAATCGCAGTAAACAAACAATATGACGTGAAGAAAATTGAACGAGGAAGGACATGGCTGTATGAATAAAACTGAACTGCTACTTGGTTTGAATAGTTATATAAGTTACAACAGGATCACGAGATGGGATAAGAGTTCAAATCTCAGGTAGCTCCCCAGGTTTCTAATTAATGCTACTTGCTCAACTATTGTAGAATTTACAACGACTCCAGTATTGTATTTCAATAGAAAGCAACAATAATAAGATGAACGAAATCTTCTTTGTGATTGATCATGGTTCTCCACAACCTCATCTCCTTCGTCCGAATAAAGTTTACCTTTTACTGTCTCCTCAAATCTCTGCTCTGCCAACCGCTTGTACAAGCTCGTTAGGTATGTTATAAATTACTTTCCTCTTTCCCTCTTACCTTTTATATGCCCTGTGAGTGTCAAATTTTCTAAGCCCTCTTTCCATATTATGTGCCATAAAAATTTCAACTGCCTCTTTCTGTTTCTAAATTTAAGTGTCCTTGTTGTTTACATTCTCTCTGAAATTTTGTCGCTGCTCATATATTCAGTCCATGGTATTCTCAGCATTCTTCTGTAGAACCCCATTTCTGTTGTTTCCACTTTCTTCTTCATATGTGAGGAGATTGCCCAGAATTCGATGCCATATAAGTGGGTTGATATTACATAACAGTTCAATACTTTTTTCTTTGTTTCTAATGAAATATTTTTATTTCTTAATACTTTGCTTAGCTTTTGAAAGTCATCTTTCGCTATTATAATGCACCATCCGGTTTCGGTGTTGAAATTTCCGTCCTCTGTTGAAACACTTCCAAGATATTTCAATTTTTATGCTTAATTAATTTTAGTGTTCCCAATTCGGAATTTAAATCTTTGGACAGTTCTTTTCGCTGTCAATTGTACAATCGTTCGTCCTTTGATGCTTAGTCCTTTCTTCTCGCTTTCTTTTGCCAACTGACTTTATTACCCTTAGCATTTTCGTCGCTGCATGTTCTGAGTCAATTATCGATAATTTTGTTTGTGCTTCTCATAATAAGATATTTATTGCTTCTTTATCATCTCGTATCAAATCTGAAAAAAAAGAAGCAGTCTTCATTTAAAAGACCAAAAATCAGTCACGCCGTCTTTGGGATATTATTTATCTCTGCATTTGTTCTCCAAAAATCAAATATCATAAAATAACCATAAATCCTTTGCCTTGCTTGTCGTAAATAATGTTCCTGGGGCGCCACATTGCCTACTGTTAACCATACGAGCAACCATTAGCGCTATCTGTCGGGAAATTTTCTCATGATATATCTATATATATATATATATATATATATATATAAGAACAATGCACGAATTGAAAGAGATGGGCCTCTTTAGTTTTTTCAGTTTGTTGGTTTTCGTCCAAAAAGTACCGAACTGCAAATTTAGTGTCTACCGTTCTCGAGATCGCTATAATTGGTACATGTCCAGTATTTGTTCGTCAAATGTAATTTCAAAGATTTTCCGTCCACCTCCACCAACTGAACTCCAGCAGAAAACAAAAATTTATGAACAAAAAAGAAAAAAAAATTCCCATGAGAATAGACAATAGTAAAAAGAATCTACGTTGTAAATTGTTACTCGATGTTTTATCTACTACAGAATATCGAAAAACATAACAGCAATGACTGGAATCCAAGTCATATTTATATGGACTCATATTTTATTTACATGGACTCATATTTTATTTACATGGACTCATATTTTACTTAAATGGACTCATATTTTATTTAGATGATTCATATTTTATTTATATGGAAACATATTTTATTTGCATGGAGTCATATTTTATTGATGTGGAGTCATATTTTATTTACATGGACTCATATTTTATTTACATGGACTCATATTTTATTTATATGGGGTCATATTTTATTCATATGGTCTCATATTTTATTTAAATGGACTCATTTTATTTACATAGACTCATATTTTATTTACATGGTGTCATATTTTATTTGCATGGAGTCATATTTTATTTATGTGGAGTCATATTTTATTTGCATGGACTCATATTTTATTTACATGGATTCATATTTTATTTATATGGATACATATTTTATTCATATGGACACATTGTCTCTAAAAGCATATTCAGTTTGTAAACTGTATAGCGTTTGATAAAATACAACACAGAGAACTTTTCGAACTGCTTGGCAAGCTTGATTTCTTTATTATCATTCACCCAATACAAGGCCCAATAGCCACTCAAAGTAGAGAACTTTTCTTCGGATCGGAAACATCATGCAACGTTAGTAAAATGAAATGAACCATTAAGAGAAGAGGCTAACAAAGGCAGCACACGGGGTGGGGGTGGATATCCCCCTACACTATATCCTATAACATTATTGTAGCGCTATATGGGCTAGAACTTTCGCTTTCTAACCATGAGACCCGGGTTCGAATCTTAACATGGTCGATTTCTCAGCGTGCGGCACCTTTGAAAAGTTCCGGAAAACCATCCCACAGAGTGTGAATTGTGAGTGAAATTGGGTAGACGGTGTACCCTTGGGGAGGCCGTCGATAGCTGTGCTAGCACGAAGTCACAAGTCATCGTGGTCGAGGGCTTGAGCGTGCTAACTTTGATCATGCTAAATAACACGCTATTTCCAGAAACTGTAACTAAAATCTACTCAGCATAGTTACAGTATAAAGCACAGGTGTGATCTGTGGGTGTTGAACAAACGCAAATGTGCCTGAGCAAGTGTCTGCAATAGGGATTGGCTAGCCACCCTAGTAGACAGGTACCCTCGAATACGAGCATGTAGGAAATAGTGATATTAGGTATAACCATATAACTATGATTGGAGGAGAGAGCTTCAATCTAAATATTCATTATATTAAAGATTTAAAGTCGATCTGCTTCTAACCAATGGCTTCATTAATCCTTCCCAGAAGTTTATTCTTGTTTAATCGGTATCACCCCATGCAAGGCACTAAAGCTACTACGACAGAATGGGTTAGAAAATGTGGACGAAATAGAAACAGAAATATTACTAATGAGAAGGAAGAGGAAAGAGTAATCAGGAGGAGAGTAGATAGCGATTGGCATTGCATTTGATTTTTTACAAATTAAAGTTGGCTGGAAAGCATAGAGTTGGAAGAGAGTCCCACAAGCGAGAAATGTGAGAAAAGAAACAGTTAACATAAAACTTACGGTTATATCTACCCAACTCGACTGTAAATGGATGAGACCTCGCCACCAACCTAGTACTGCGCTTAAATTCGAAGACTCTATCTATAATAGCAAAGCTCTCATCCGAACAGTTACCATGAAAGTATTTGTAGAAAAGGCACAGGGAGGCAACCTTACTGCGGAAAGAAAGTGACTGAAGACGAGCAGAAAACATTAATGAATTAAACTGGGAACAGATCGGCTGTGCACGGACAGGAAAATGAATT